TTGCTGACGACCACTGTCTCCCCTTCCACCACCTCTCTCCCCGCTCGACAGCGGAAAAACTGTAAAAATTCCGGGAAATTCCAAAAAAAACTGGAGAGAGTGGTAGGATGAGAAAGTCTCTGAAAGTGGTAGGTAGGATGGAAAAGCGGGTGGGGGGGGGGTCGCGTCAGGAGGAGGGAATTAGCGGGTCGTATTCTACGAAAATTTTCGCCAGCGGCAGGACATTTTACGAAAATTTCAGCCAACGGCAAGACGTGCCCTGATTGTGATGCAGCGATTCTGCGTACAGAACCTTCACGTACGTTCTTTAGGGGCGGGGTTGAACGTAAAACGGACGAGTTGTCTTTATTGATAACCTAGCCTAGTACGGTATTCCCTTGCTAAATCATATTATCAGCTTACTTCTACACCAAATCCTACAGACGTTTCTTCACATCGAATATTCATGTATATTTACTTACTTATATACGTCTCGTTCGCTGCTGATGAAGGGCCGTGCCAGGCGGGATGAATCTCGCGCGGCGCCAGACCTGTTTTCTACCAATAGTTGAAGCCAGCAGGCGACAAAATCGTACCATATAGTTCAAATCAGTCGTTTCCCATCAACTGTTGTCGTTTACCCGCATCGGCAACTGGTTGGTGGAGAACGATTTTGGCCCCGTGTCAAACCGATCCCGCCTGACACACCCCTTCATCCGCAGCGAACCACACTGTAAACGTCATTTCGACGCCAAAAGTGAGAAATTTCTGGGATTGCGTGAGGGTTATAGCTACGATTCCATACACGAGCGTACTCTAGTATAAGCATACGTTAGAAATTTTGTGTCGGTCGGAAGGTGTATGTTACGGCAACGTTGGGAGCGACGTCACACGCGCGGCATTCGCACCAAAGTTAGAGTACTTTTGGCATAGAACTGTTACAGTATGTCAAGTCAACTATGTACTCAGGGAACACTTGCTAGCTGTTGCGTGTGGCCGGAAATGTTCCTCGCGACCGGTCTAGTTTCATGTCGCGTACGAGTTTCAATACTTTTCATGTTACAAATTTTCTATTGAAGCTCACCTTTAACACCAGCGCGATAAGTCATCGAAGCGAAACATGTGCTTTCCATTTCAATATTCCTAACGCCTCTATCGTGAAGCCTCTTCAGAAACTCGTATTTGTCATCCGATTTGTATTCACAAAAGAAACCATCAAGACGCATTTGCCCTAAAACAAGGGCTTTCTTGGGTATTGATCACAATTTCTGGAACTTCCATTTTTTCAACCACAAACAAGAATAGATCGCTGGACTTGGTCCTTTTCTGGAGTGCGCCCTACATTCGACTCTCATTTACAGTTCAAAGAGCCTCCGATGTGGTTTGGGCACAAAATAATTCGCGAGAGTCGATCAATATAAAGCATAGCATTTATACCTTCCTGACTAGTAAACAGTTGTTCTACTTCCAAAATGTCAAACGTATGTTGCAGCTCAAAAGTGATAGGGTCCCTTGAATTCACATAATCACTGATTGGGAAAATTTCTATATTTCAGCGTTTTAGATGGGAGGGTGGAAGGAGGATTGAAGGAGCGGTCCGCCTTGCAAGTCGTGAGCATCGGGGTTCACGCTACGTTCATACTTTGCGTCAGCGGTACGGCGGCGCCAGCTTTTGGAAAAGTATAGGTATCGATAAGCGCACAGCAGCATTTTGAGCGACCAGGAAAGTATGGATATCGATCTAGCGTCTTGAGCAACTAGGAAAAGAAGGGTAGCAATTTGGTCCGAGCGTCCAGCACCGTACACCAGCGTACGAGCAGCAATTGACGCAATGGTAATTGAACGCAGCTCTTTAAGAGCCGAAGAAAGTATGGTATATTGCTATAGAGACCTGTCCCAAAAAGCAGAAAGGAAGTCTGTCGAAAACGACTGTGAAAAGTGAGCCCCGTTTGCAGTATCTTCAGGCGCTTTTTCAAGGGACATGCCCACATCCGACTATATAAAAGGAAAAGTAGCGACGATGAAATGACGACCGTAAGACCGCCAACCGCCATGCAGCTGTTCCGTTGGAGGCGCCGCAGGCATAACACGGTCAGGGCACATCTCTGCCTGCGAATCCCCATAAGAGGGGGGTCGTATTTGTCGTAATAATAATAATAAACCCTTTTTTAAAACAGTCAGCTGATAATGAAGAGATTAGCTCAGCGCTGCTGACTAGCAAATGCTAAAAAAATTTTCGCCTGCGTCGCCAGGAGGGGGGGTCGTATTTGGGCTGAGAAAAATTTATTTTGATAGTTGATTTTTCTCGCTTCATGGACGTTGTAAAGGGAGGGGGGTCGTATTTGATCATTTTTGGGAGGGGGGGGGTCGTATTTACGTTTTGGCGTTGTAGGAGTGGCGGTTGACTTTTGGTGATTTTCCTGTTTCACGTACTATATGCCCCCCCCGCTCGACGGCTCGATTCGATGAGGAAGGACAGAGGGCTGGGGGGGGTCGTACCAACTCCCAAAAAAGGGGAGGGGGTCGTATAGAGTCGACTAAAATCCCCAACCAATGATGTGCCCTTAACACGCAATTTGCCTTCGTAGCAGATTTGGGACGGTCACTTACTTTTGAGCCAAAATGGTTGCACAACTTATAGTTGCTGCGCAGGTCATCTCGCGAGTAAAGGAAAGCTTTCAAAAGTTCCTATAGTCAGAACTGCGTCCTTAGGTTCTCATTTCGAAAAAGCCTGTTTCTCATGGTCAGATTTGTTATGTGGTCTGAGGAAAGCAAATCTGGGGGTACAAATGTGTTGCTACAGGTCTTTAGATCATTTACACTCACCCTCATAAAAATCGTCAGCACATAGCGTTAGACCTGACTCCACTGGTATCTTCTTCTCCTTGGCGAGTGCGATAAGATTATTTCGGAGTTCCTCGTCTAAGAACGTATCTCGTTCTATCTAAAACAAGCAACTGTGTAGATTATATAACCAGTAGCTGAATCTTCGACTTAAAGGCGAGGTTTCCTTGCAAGTAGTGCTCTTTTTGAGACTGTAGGATTCTTTTATCCTTTTTGGACGCCTTTCGATTGGTTCTCACGAGCCTTCTGCTATTTGTCATTTGGCCGACTTTCCAAGATTCACGTTATCAGTGTGTTCTTCTTATCTTCGTTAAAGATGGACCCTACGCTAAACTATTTCGTAGGCGTCTTTCCTTGTACAAGTAGTCTGGTCCTCACTCTCTAAGTCTGTTCTGTTTTCGCAGCTTCACAGTGAAAAACGGAAGTGCTGCGGCCTTCATAAGTGGCAGTTAACGCCTCCCCAGTTGTGCCGCCCACTGAACTCAAAGGCTGTTTTCGTCAGTTCAATTTTATACTCTTTTTCGGTTTTTTTTTGAAGGGATGGTGTTAATTAAAGGACATGGAGAAACGATTATTGAGCTAGAGGTGGCAAGATTTTGCTTTACTGGCACAAAAGGAGCAGGTCCAGAAAACTCGTCCAAGGAGGCTAGGTGTTTACTTAGGGTGCTCTCCATAGTTTTTTCGCTTTGTTCCCTCAATAGTTATAATATTTAGCGACTGTAGGTTTGTAACTGAGCGCCACTTTCAGTCAGTACAGTCCTCATCATTGCGGACTGTCGGGGCGGCTGAGCCGCGCTGCACTGTGACGCGACAGCGGCTGCGGCTCGGTGACGGCGAATCAGCTGATTTCCATGGAATTCGGCTGCGAATTCCCACTTTTTCAGCTCTTCAAGCTTCGAAAGTGGAAGGTGAGTTATTTTGACAATTTTAAATTGTACTGGCTCTGAATGAATCTGAAAGAATGCAAGCCATTTGAATAAATGCCTGAAATAAGGCAAAATACAAGGAAAAGAGCATAATAATAGACATAAAAATAAAGGAAATTAGAGCCAGTACAATTCAAAATTGTTCAAAATAACTCACCTTCCACTTTCGAAGCTTGAAGAGCTGAAAAAGTGGGAATTTGCAGCCGAATTCCATCGAAATCAGCTGCCGTCACCGAGCCGCAGCCGCTGTCGCGTCACAGTGCAGCGCGGCTCAGCCGCCCCGACAGTCCGCAATGATGAGGACTGTATGTACAATCGCGGGGTTTGTCTTCAGCAGCCTTCATGGTTTATGACACCTGCGGTCACACGAGCCAAGCGATTGCGCATTTTCAACAGCAAGAGTTGCGAGATCAATACCTATTAATACTCTGCAACCGCGCGATCACCGATGTCGCGAACTATGAACTATATCATAACCAGCGCGCTTTTATCAGGAGAGCGGTTGTGACGCATTGTTTAAGCAACCTCGTCTCCGGTACAAATATAAAACGCTATTACCAATGAGAAAA